TATTTTTTTGGAATAAAAAGTGACATTTTCTCAAAAAAAAAACAAAAAAAAAGATCCAGCGGCCTAGCTCAATTGGTTAGGCACGCAAGTGGCATTCAGGAGGTTGTGGGTTCAATCCCCATGGCCGCCTGTAGCACTCTTGGTGCCAACCAACTGAGATAGTCAGCTGGATCCTCCCAGTCCATATGAGTAAGGTCTTCAGCCAACACGGGTGTGAGTGCGTGTGTGAGTGGGTTGAGTGTGGTGTGTGGGAGAGTGTTGGCTGTAGACACTACTGTTACTCGATGGGGGTGGGGGAAGGTGAATAGGGAGGCACAGTTACCGGCAAAATGCTCGGTCCTTGTGTTAGCCGGGCCCCCACTGGCAGCCCCAACCCTGCACCCTAAAACGCTAGGGCAAAGGGGCAAACATGCCCTTACCCCTCTCCAACGACGGAGAGAGGTAACCTCCCTTCACTGAAGAGAGGTAGAAAGCTATGCTTGCAGGGGTCCCCTGTATAGCCTCAGGAGTAGTGGTAGGTAGTGAAAAGAAAGATATGTTCCATGACATGGCAGAACGCCAGTTAAAAGAAAGATATGTGAGGTGAGAGGAAAAAAAAAGAAAAAAAAGAAAGAAAAAAAGAAAGAAAGTGGTGAAGATGACGAGTACTCTGGGAGTCTGGGGCCTGCTTCTCTGACAGCTCTCTCGAACTCACTTTCAGTAGCTGAATCCGAGAGCATATGTGGCTATGCTGGCATTCCAGAACACAGCTATTTCCGGAGGGGTGTGGCGAGGCCCTGGGTCTGTGTAAGTGTGCTAGCTCTGTTCTTGTCCTGTGCTTCTGTCTCAGGAGAGGTGCGGAACAGAAATAGGCGTAGTTACAGAGTAAAATGACAGAGATCGGGACAGGGACCAAATTAGATTAGTTTCWGAACTGACAGGGACAAAAGTAGAATTTGTTAAGCACCGGTAGTAGGGATACTCCAGGAGTTGGGACCACAACCCAATGCAGACTGCATGCAATACCCTCACAGTTGCAGTGGAAAGTTTCTGGGTCTTCCGAGAAAATGCTCTGTTGGCCTGATATGTCTTGTGATTTCGGAGTCTGAGGGCCTCTCCACACCACTGTGTCCAAACGAACAAAACAAACACGAATCTTCCCCAAAAAGTGGCCAGATGCATCCGTTGCTATTCATAGGAACGGATGCACCTTTTCACTTTCTGTGGGAACCTGCACTTGAGCGTTTTCCGTTTCGACATGACGCGGACGCGGGGACGCAGCCATTGGGGTAGCATGCTTTATGTTCTAGACAGAAAGCTTGGCAAACTTTAAGGTCTTATGAAGTGGGGGATGGGCAGCCTTCTGGATGGTAGTGTCCAAAGCCAACACTCTCCCACACACCACACGCAACCCACTCACACACGCACTCACACGCGCACTCAGACCCGTGTTGACTGAAGACCTTACTGATACCGACTGGGAGGATCCAGCTCACTATGTCAGTTGGATGACACCAAGAGTGCCACAGACCGCCGTGGGGATTGGACCCACATTCTTTTTTTTTTCTTCTTTTTTTTTATAACAAACTTCGTATACGGGAAACCTACTTAACAAGGTGATAAGAGCATCCCCGGTAAGTAGGCCCCAGCATCGAAGGCTCCATCTATTGGTGGGGAGCTACACCTGCTGGAAAACGGGTCCAGCGTCCCTGTACAATGATGACAAATGTATCCACTGGAAATCAGGTCCAGCGTCCGTGTGCATAGGTGTGAATATATGTGCCGGAAAATGGGTCCGGCAGCCCTGTCCATCTAATCTATAGCAACTCTAAACTTAGCTGAGTCATCAATCCAATCACACGAAATCCTAACCATGCTGTGATGTATATGACAGTGCTGTGGTTTGTATTTGCTGGAAAACGGATCCAGCGACCCCATTTCATGTTGTTAATCTATATCCAACAGGCGGAAACAGGCACAAAACCCATTAGTAGTCCAAAATGTCATCAAACAAGATCAAAATGTCGTGGACAACAAGTCACCAATCTCGGAGGTACCGAGTCCTAATGTAACCGGTGTCCAATTTGTGATGTCGCTGAGTATCAACCCCAACAATCTCCAAGTCTCGAATCCGGTAAGTATCACAGCCTCTTTCCACCGAAATCCAACACTGATCTCTGTCCAACTCGTATCAAGTCTCCAATCTGAAGAAGAAGAAGAAGTCTGAAGAAGAAGAAGAAGAAGAAGAAGAAGAAGAAGTCTGAAGAAGAAGAAGAAGAAGTCTGAAGAAGAAGAAGATGGAGATGGAGAGAAGAAGATGGAGAGGAGAGGAGAGGATGGAGAGGGCCTCAGACCAAACCTGCAGATGCAAGCTGGCGTCTTGGCGGCGGCGGGAGTCCGGATGCAGGTCGCTGGAGCTATGGCGCTCCACGGTTGCAGGTAAGTCCTCCTCGCCTCATCGCTCCTCCTGGACTGCAGTGCGCTAAACTAGCGCTGCAGTCCCTAGCGCTGTGCTCAACCAAATAGCGCAGTGTTCTCCTGGCTGCTCCTCGCTCCAACCTGCAGGAATGGCTGCTGGACCGGCCTAAGTACCATCCGGCGGCCGGTCGGCCTCAATGCTGGCCTCCTTCAGCCCGGACCAGCGGGCGGCAGCCTCAAGAGCACCGCCAGGCCCAAATGGTTTGTCGTTTGGGCCAGACCTGGGTCTGCTGATACAGAGGTCCAACCGCTGGCCTAATAGGGCCTACCGGAAGGAAAAAGGCCTGGCCTTTGGCTAGGCCGTCCTGGGTCCCCCTGAACAGGTGTGTCGGGCCTGTGGAGGCCCGTGTGAAGTCGCAGACTGTAACATTCACACAGCAGAACGTGCTGAGGGCGACCAAGAAAAGTGCAGATCTTCGGCCCCCCTTTCGAGAATAGAGTGGCGGCAGTGATGAGGACATGTGTAGCAGTGTCTATTTTGTGTAGTATTCTCATGTCTGGGGAGCGGAGGCGGGGGATCTTCGCAGTCATACGCTGGTTTTGACTATACGAAACTCCAGTCCAAAGGCGCTTTTCCTCGGCTTGTCATGTGTATTGAAGCTAAAATATGACAGCGAGTTAGCCTGTGGCTGGTTAGATCTCCCATGAAAGCTGGTTCCAGAACTGGTTGTTCTTGAACTGTCTATATTCCCTGTAATTACGAGCTCATTCAATCTGTTAAATTTTTTGAAGAAAAAAAAAAGAAAAAAGAAGTCACTGAGTTTATTACGAAACTGGCAGTCAAGTGCAAGGGCTGGGGACCCACAATTCAACCCGGGGCGTCTAGCACATTTCAAGAGTAGTGGAGCGAGCTCAGGGCCGTGCCACAGCATTGCCGGAATGCCCAAAATGGAACATGTATCTTCTGCAAAAAAACATCGAAAGATACACCGCCGCAGGTTTTCTCTTTTTCACAGTCCGATAGTAGTGTGGCGATGTTCTTAGTCTATGGGCCTCGCTGCACTAATGTCTACATGCATAAAAGACAAAAAAAAAAAGTATGGCAATGTATCTTTCCGTGTTGTAGCAGAGGATTCAGTCACATTTTGCTCCCCAGTAGCCCTATGTAGGTGTGCGTGCGAAATACATAATACATATAAATAACAGAAGCCGAGAAATGAAAACATAAATGTATATACGGAAACGAGTGACTATGTTCGATTTCACCTTTTCAGTAAGGATATCGAGGAGCCAACAGTTCTCACAATGAACATTTGGAAAGATGGTGCAAAGGACATTAAGACGCACGTCAACAATTTTTCCCCTTATTTTGCACACACACACACACACACACACACACACACAGAGCGAGAGAGAGCGAGAGCGCGCGCGCGCGCGCGCGCGCGCGAGAGAGAGAGAGAGAGAGAGAGAGAGAGAGAGAGAGAGAGAGAGAGAGAGAGAGAGAGAGAGAGA